TATAAACACACAATATACAAAAAGCCAAACCTCCAGCTGATAACGGAATGCACACAGACAAGAGCAGTCAGGGCTGGTGAGGTGGAGTGGTTAGGCGGGCCGGGTCAGGAACCATCAAGCAGACAAGGTACAAAGGAGCAGGCAGAGTGTAGTCAGACGGGCCGGGTCAGAAACAATCAGGCAGACAAGGTACCAGAGGAGCAGGCAGGAGAGTGGTCAGGAATAGCCGGGGTCGGTGCAGGCAGAGTTCAATCAAAGTCAGGAGTCAGGCAGAGGGATCAGGAAGGCAGACAACAGGTTCAGGATACAGGGGCTCATGGGCACAATGCACCAAGGCACTGACTGCAGGCCTGGCCACTCCTTAAATACACCTCCTGCAATCAGCCTCAGGTGATGGCTTGATTGCAGGAGTGAGCTTCTGGCTGCTGAGAGCACCCGCTGGCCAGCCCTGGTACTGCAGCCCACACAGCAGGTGAGTCCCACCACCAGTGCTGAGTCCATTCCTGACAGTCTGGCTCCAAAAATGGCTTCAGAATGTCCACCATGCAGATGTGGAAGTATGAGAAACTGGATTTGAACCCCTGAGGCAAACAGAACGTATACTGTTTCCCCTGAAACGTGGAATGCTAGTTTGTACTGGCTATCCTCATGCACAGGAATGGAAAAATAGCCATTTGATATGTCAATCGAAGAATACACTTTTACAGAGGGCTTAAGTGCTGTCATCATGTCTGGCATTTTAGCGACTACATTTGTAATAGATGGAGCACACTTGTTCAGAGCACGGAAATCTACAGTGGGCCTCACACACCCCCCCCCCCCCCCCCCCTCCTTCTTTACTGTCCAGAGGGCTGCATTAGTTTTGGATTGGCACTCTTTAATTGCATTTTGTGCCAGTACATTCTCCATTGTACTCTTTACATATGGGATAGATTCTGGAGGAATTTTGTACTGACGCTGAGGTGGCAGATCAAGGCCCTCAATTTTAACAATCATGTTTGAGACTTTGCCACACTGCACTCTGGCTGTTGCCCACATTTTGTTATGTATCCACAAGATCTCAGTCAGTAACTGGTCCTCCATTCTCAGTAGTTCCTGTGGGTCAAGGATCTCATGCGTTCTAACTGATGTAAACTCACAGCTGCTCATGCTCATGTGTGCCTTGCCTTTGTACCTAGACACCTTCCACAGCACCCAATTACAGAGATCAAGAATAAGCCCATGTGCTTTCATGACATCAGAGCCCCAAATAGTGCCCTCATGTGTTAGGGAAAGAAACAAACTGTGTTCCACACACAATCTCACAATGTTTATAGGCACAGGTACTGACTGATCAGAAGGTACCAGCTGTCCTCCAAACCCTCTAAATAAAATTTGCCTCCCCGTAGAGTCCTTTTCAAGTTCAACATTTGTTAGGCTGACAGCTGCACCTGTATCCAAAAGAATATTTGTGCAGTGGCCCCCTACCGCTCCCTGGATACGTGGTCTGCCACCCTTGTCCCTCTCTAGATGACATACTAGGGACAACACCAGGGCCTGACGTCCCCGTTGTCGAAAATAAGGATTTGTTGGAGATGGGACCTTACATTCTTCCTGGGTCTCGTTAATTCCTTTTCCTACTTTCTGTATCTCCCTCAAAAGGGGGCCATATAAGGTAACATCCGGTGCCTTGTTCAGCTCCACTGTCACCGTATCTGATTCAGACATTTGTTGCTCTTTCCTATGCAAAGGCTTTCCAATACGTGTGGCTCTTCGAGGTAACTTACAATCCTTGATTACATGTCCTGTATTTCTGCATCTAAAACACCTGCCTAAAAATCTAATCCTCCCTTCACTTTTGACTACCTCAGAGATTCTTTTGTGAGGCCTATTGTCTTGATCAGTCTCCTGAACCCAGTCCCTTAATACAGTGAGGAACAGAAGTATTTGAACACCCTGCGATTTTGCAAGTTCTCCCACTTAGAAATCATGGAGGGGTCTGAAATTCACATTGTAGGTGCATTCCCACTCTGAGAGACAGAATTAAAAAAAAAAAAATCAGAAAATCACATTGTATGATTTTTAACCATTTGAGCTCCAGAGGATTTACCCCCCTTAATGACCAGGCCTCTTTTTGCTACTCGGCACTGCACTAAATCAACTGATAGTTGCGCTGTCATGCAATGCTGCACCCAAACGAAATTTACGTCCTTTTTTTCACACAAATAGAGCTTTCTTTCGGTGTAATTTGATCACCTGTGCGCTTTTTATTTTTCACGCTATAAACAAAAAAAGGCCAAAAATTTTGAAGAAAAACAATATTTTTTACTTTCAGCTATAAAAAATATATAGTAAACTCAAAGTTGGTTATAAATTTAGGCCAAAATGTATTCTGCTCCATGTTTTTGGTAAAAAAAATCCCAATAAGTGTATATTGATTGCTTTGTGTGGAAGTTATAGCGTCTACAAACTATGGTATAGATACTGCAATTTACGCCATTTTTCTGCTATACAGCGCTGCGCTAGTTTAACGGACAATTGCGCAGTCATGCAATACGGTACATAAATGAAATTTACATCCTTTTTTTCTCATAAATTGAGCTTTCTTTCGGTGGTATTTTTTCGCCTGTGTGGTTTTTATTTTTTGCGCTATAAAAAAAAAGGCTGACAATTTTGAGGAAAAAAAAACAATATTTTGGACTTTTTGCTATAAAACATGTCCAGTAAAAAAATGCAAAAATCAAATTTAGTCATAAATTTCTGCCAAAATGCATTCTGCGACATGTCTTTGCTAAAAAAAAACAAAACAATACGTGTAAATTAATTGGTTTACGTGAAAGTTATAGCGTTTACAAATGGCGGGAAAGATACTGGGATTTTTTTTTATACTAATAATGGCGGCGATCAGCGAATTATGGCGGCGAACAGGGACTTATGGCGGGACTGCGGTGGACATTCTGACATTGGGGGGTACTGACTTGGGGTCATGACATCCCCCAAAAACACTAATACAGTGATCAGTGCAAAAAAAAAAACACTGACACTGTACTAATGGCACTGGGGAGGAAGGGGTTAACTTTATTTTGCAGGGAAGGGTTATAGGAGTGAGGGGAGTGTTTTACTGGGGGGGGGGGGGGGGGTGTGTACTGCAGGGGACAAGGCTGATCGAGAAAGAGAAACTGTTCTTTCTCAATCAGCTCATCCTCAAGCTGACAGGGAAGTGACAGATAGCACAGCTACTGCAGCTGTGCTCTCTGTCACTGTTTGCCGCCGATCGCCGGGAAACAGCCGCTAAGGATCTGTGGCGGTGATCGGCGGGACAGATAGGGCGGCCTCGCCCTCGCTCGCCTCGCGCGCACCCCCTATTTGTTTACAAAACACACGTTTTAAAACGTGGTTTTGCTTGCGAGTGCCGCCCTGCCGCCGTATTTATACAGTGGCTGGGCAGCAAGTGGTTAAAGAATTGATTTGTCTGTGGCTCATCTCTGCACTCTGTCTGAAACTCACCTGTCAATTCACCTCTGCAACACCTGACTGCAGCTAACAACTGTCATCAGCTGGCCCTCTCTATAGTAACCCTCATCCACAATTGTCTGTAGCTCACCTCTGCACCCCATGTCCACACTTGTACATTAAAAAAATAAGACCTACCCCAAAAATAAGATCTAGTGTGTTTTTTAAGCCAAAACAAATTATAAGAGTGTCTTATTTTTGGGGAAACATGGTAGTATTAATTTCTGGTCAGCTGAGCCACAGGAGCCAATAATTGGAAGGAATGGATAACCCAGCCCCCTCTCTAAGTGTGATCCCACAGCAACCATATTGTAAGTGTTTGAAAGAGCATTCAACATTTTTCTATTTTATAGTCTGCTAGGTGAAGGATATGCTGTATATATACTCACTGGCCACTTTATTAGGTCCACCTGTTCAATTGCTTGGTAACACAAATTGCTAATCAGCCAATCACATGGCAGTAACTCAATGCATTTAGGCATCTAGACTTGTTGAAGACGACTTGCTGAAGTTCAAACCGAGCATCAAAATGGGGAAGAAATGGGAATTTAAGTGACTGAACGTGGCTTGGTTGTTGGTGCCAGATGGGCTGGTCTGAGTATTTCAAAAACTGCTGATCTACTGGGATTTTCACACACAACCATCTCTAGGGTTTACAGAAAATGGCCTGAAAAGAAATAAAATATCCAGTGAGCGGAAATGCTTTGTTGATGTCAGAGGAGAATGGGCAGACTGATTTGAGATGATAGACAGAAACAGTAACTCAAATAACCACTCGTTAAACCCTGGGTATGCAGAATACCATCTCTGAATGCACAAAATGTTGAACCTTGAAGCAGATGGGCTACAGCAGCAGAAGACCACACCGGGTGCTACTCCTGTAAGCTAAGAACAGGAAACAGAGACTACAATTTGCACAGGCTCACCAAATTTGGACAATAGAAGATTTGAAAAACGTTGCCTAGTCTGATGAGTCTCAATTTTATCTGCAACATTCAGATGGTAGGGTCAGAATTTGGCATACACATGAAAGCATGGATCCATCCTGCTTTGCATCAACTGTTCATGGATCTGCAGCCGACAAATCTGCAGCAACTGGATGATGCTATCATGTCAATTTGGGCCAAAATCTCTGAGGAATGTTTTCACAACACCTTGTTTGATCTATGCCATGAAGAATGAAGGCAGTTCTGAAGGCAAAAGGGGGGTCCAACCTGGTACTAGCAAGGTGGACCTAATAAAGTGGCCGGTGAGTGTACATATATGACTATAGAAATTTACTGGATTTTAACAAAAACATTGCAAAGTATATTATCACATGACAAAATAAAAAAGTGTTATCGGCAAAATGTAAAACTAGATAGAAAAGGTTTGTTTAGTAATACGTCCATAAATATACATGTGCTGTTCAGTTATACAGGGCAGGGGCGGACTGACCAACTGGAAACTCGGGCACTGCCCGAGGGCCCGGGGTCAGTAAGGTGCCCCATGAGATGCCCCTGGTACATTTTTCAGTTTGGACAAGGACACAGGGGCCCCATGATCCCCTATTGCCCGGGGGCCCCATGAGTTGTCAGTCCGCCCCTGATACAGGGTGTACAAGTTCACCAGGATGAGATTTACACTTCTTTCTACAAATAATACAATTTTTCAAGGGAGTAAATCCGTGGTCTCCAAACTGCAGCCCGTGGGCAGGATGTGGCCCTTTGCTTGCCTTTATCCGGCCCTTGTGGTACTATTCCTCTCATTGATAGGCAATTATTCATCTAACTGATACAAAGGATAGGACACTATTTCTTCCACTGACACCAAAAGTGGGGCATGACCAGGGGCGGACTGACAACTCATGGGCCCCCGGGCAATAGGGGATCATGGGGCCCCTGTGTCCTTGCCCAAACTCAAAAAAGCCTATGAAAAAGGTACCAGGGGCATTTCATGGGGCCCTCTACTGACCCTGGGCCCACGGGCAGTGCCCGAGTTTCCAAATGGTCAGTCCACTCCTGGGCATGACTCCTCCCACTAATACCACTGAGGAGGTATTATTTTTCCTATTGACACCAATGATGGGGCACCATTCATCCCACCAATATCAATTTCAGGATGCTATTTCTCCTACTGACCACCAAGCCTGGGGCAATTTCTACTTCCAATGGCCACAGTCTGGCCCCCCCTAATCTCTTTAGAACAGTACACTGACCCTTTGTTTAGAAAAAAATTTGGAGACCCCTGGAGTAAATAAAGAGAAGAGGGTAAAGATGAACAGAGCACCTCCATAAAAAAAATACATAAAATTAAAAAAAAAAGTCTCAGAGGAGGGCTTTGGAGGCAGTAGATGGATCTGAGAAGGGGTTGGCTGCACCTTTGTGGGAACTCAGCCAATCCGCAATGGGAGGTTTGGCAAGGAGCTGGACTCCCTTAAAACTTGTTAGAGTCTGCTCAGTAGCAGGAGTTGAAAGAGTTGGAGTGTGGTGGGAGAGGAGTGTGAGTCAGGAAGATTTGAGGCTGGAGGAAGAAGGCTGCCAGGAGATCTGCTGGGATGGGGCCTGCCTGCAAGCCTGGGGTCAGAGGGGAAGAAATCTCAGGACTCATTGGTTCCCTAAGAGTACATCACCTATGTGGCAAGAAAGGAGCAGCCAAGCTGATAGGCCTGTACAGGAGAGGATCTGAGTGAGTATACCTACACCCCTGTGTGGATAGGAGAAGGAGCACTCTGGTGGGAAACCAGATTAGCCCCCTTCTAGTGACTGTGCACCTAATTTAAAGGAACAGGAGTCAGATCCCCAGCTCAGGAAGGAAAATCTACAGATTGCTGGGTGAGTCCATCTGGGGTCTGGAGTCTGGGGTACTTCAACTGGAGTTGCTAGCTAGCACTCCAACTAATACTATGTGTCAGAGAAAAGAATCTGTGAATAGTTCAGGAAGTTTGTCCTCAGGTTTTGGTTCCCTTGGCCATCCTATACACCCCTTACTCCATCCAAGTTTAATCCCCTCAATAAAATAACAAAACCAACGTTCAAGGCCTGATTTCTGTCTATGGATGAATGCTTGTGAGAAACAGCAACCCTCAAGGGGGTAGTGCTACATGAGCAAGAAATGAAATGTTCAAATCTTGTTCCCATTGAAGCATGGTTGGGAGTTTTTCCTGGAGCATGCATTTAGAGAGGAGTCCATATAGTATATTGGGAAATTACTTTCGGAGTCATGACGGTAGAAGTGTAAAATGACTGCAGAGAGTGAAGAGGACCAATATATATTGATATTTGGTATTTAGTGTACACCAAACACACCACACATTCACTCCTCTATTACCATACATAGCACTACCCCCCAAAGGGACACTGAATTTGAGAATGGGTTCTTTCTGTAATAAGCACAGGGCAGCCAGGTACACAGCTGTCATCTATCCACTCTGTCTCAGTAATCAGTCTAGGGGTGTCTTTTTGTGAATTTATTGCTGGTAGATCTTGGGAAGGGGATCTGGGGGTGAAACAGGATACTCCTAAATGAACAGATTGCCAACGGAGGACACTTATATCTTAATAGTAACTCCACTAATTTCCAAGGGAATGATAATCAGATAGATCAGGCTATATGTGCATGCCTGAGGACCATGCTCCAAAATGTACCAGAAGTCATAAAGGACTAAAGGAGTCAATGTTTCACAGCTTGAAACCAAAAAGAGCTCCAGATTAAAAAGGGAGGCTTTACTCACAGGGTCCCAAAGCATACACAGTCCATAAGCACAACCTCTACAAAAGTCCAGTGTGTAGCCCAGGTGTGCTTAAAGGTAAGCAGCCCCTGGAGGTCACAGATACATTCCCACACCGGGAAAAGACCATCTCCTCTAGTCTCCAGCCTATTTAACAGGAACCCATCCACCATCTGGGCACACCTGCCCAGGGATTGGATTGCTCCTACTAAAAAGGCCTGGTATTAGAATCCTCCTGCTTTAATCTCCAGAATCTTCTCCTAGAGTCTGGGGCAAATAATCAAACTCCTAGACTGTGGAGCTCTAAGAAGACCAAACTAAACACTTCTGGTCTTGTTGCTACAGCAGAAATCCTATACTAAATTTACCTAACAGCCACTATAATGAGGGCACTACACATAGCTTTTTTAAAGAGTAAGGTATTCCCATCTGGGGCGTAGATAGGGGGGGGGGGTCAGGGGGGTTCAACAACCCCCCTTTCCCCCCCGAGCACCTGTCAATGGCAAAAAGGTGCAGCAGCTACAGTAGGCTAACACCTGTAGCCTTCCATGCTGTAATACATGTGAGTCCTGGCCTGTTAGTTTACTATGCGAATAGGCTGGGACACAGGAGAATGGAGGGTGACAGAAGTGAGGGATATATGCAACTTCAGCTACCCATTGGCTTTTTGTCTAGTGTGGGTGCAGGATGGTACGGTGCTTGTGACGTAGGGAGAAATCTGAGCACCAGAGCACTGAAAGCAGTGAAGCTCCTGCAGGGATCAAGAAGGTGAGGGAGGAAAGAAGAAAGCATTTTGTCCCAGTAGAAATGAAAGAAAACCAGGGAACTTCTAGAAGCCTGTGAACACCGAAGCCCCAGCCTCAGCAGCAATCAGTCTGTCACAGGAGGGTTCTGATCACCGCAGAAGACAGAGAAAGGTGGTCATTGGTTGCTGGACCAATGATACTCAGTGCAGCTGCAGACAGCAGGAGGAAAGCTCATCATCAGCTCTCCCTCTCACAGTGCACCCCCACCTGTCACAGTGCCCCCCATCTGTTAGCCTGGCCCCCACCTCTCACAGTGCCTCCTCTCCGATTGCCCTGCCCCCTTCATTCACACTGCCCCCGTTCTTTCACACTGCTTCCTCCTTCACAGAGCCCCCCTCCTCTCACAGTGCCCCCCCACCTGTTACCCTGCCCCCCACCTCTCACAGTGCCCCTCTCTAATTGCCCTGCCCCCTTCATTCACACTGCCTCCATTCTTCCTCCCTCACAGTGCCCCTTCTACCACCCTGCCCCCTACCTGTCACAGCTCCCCCTCCTCTTCTCCAGAGCCAGGATAAGGGGTGGGCAGGAGGGACAGCCACCCTGGGCACAGCAGAACAAGGAGGCAAAGAATGGACACAGGACAGGAGACCCATTCTATGGCATGAATTAACAATGGGGGAGGGGGTGCAATTCTGCATCCTTGCTGGGCGCTAGGTGCACTTGTCCCGGTACTGTCACAGTGCCCCACTTCTGTCACCCTACTCCCCTCCAACTGTCACCCTGCCCCCCACCTCTCACAGTGCCCCCCAACCTGTTACCCTGGCCCCCACCTCTCACAGTGCTCCTCTCCGATTGACCTGCCCCCTTTGATTCACACTGCCCCTGTTCTTTCACACTGCTCCCTCCCTCACAGTGCCCCCTCCCTATACAGTGCCTCCATTCTGTCACAGCACCCCCTCCTGTCACCCACTCTCCCCTCCAACTGTCACTCCCCTCCAACTGTCACCCTGCCCTCCACCTCTCACAGTGCCCCCCCCCCCCCCACCTGTCACCCTGGCTCCCACCTCTCACCATGCGCTCCCTCTCCAATTTCCCTGCTCCCCTTCATTCACACCACCCCCTTTTTATTTTTACACTGCTCCCTCCCTCACAGTGCCCCCCTCCTCTCACACTGTCCCCCCACCTGTCACCCTGCCCTACACCTCTCCCAGCATCCCTCTCTGATTGCCCTGCCCCCCCCGTCATTCACACAGCCCCCATTCTTTCACACTTCCCCCTCCCTCAAAGTGCCCCCTTTTGTCTCAATGCCCCCATCCTGTCACTGTGCTCCCCACCACTCACAGTGCCCCCCACCTGTCACCCTGGCCCCCACCTCTTACAGTGCGCCCCTGTCACCCTGGCCCCCACCTCTCACAGTGCCACCCCCACCTGTCACTGTGCTCCCCACCTCTCACAGTGCCCCCCCACCTGTCACCCTGCCCCCCACCTCTCACAGTGCCCCCCCCCCCCCCCCCCACCTGTCACCCTGGCTCCCAACTCTCACCATGCGCCCTCTCCAATTTCCCTGCTCCCCTTCATTAACACCTCCATTTTTTCACACTGCCCCTTCCCTCAAAGTGCCCCCTTTTCTCTCACGGGCCCCCATTCTGTCACAGCACCCCCTCCTGTCACCCTGGCCCCCATCTCTTACAGTGCGCCCCTACCTGTCACCCTGGCCCCCACCTCTCACAGTGCCCCCCCCCCCACCTGTCACTGTGCTCCCTACCTCTCACAGTGCCCCCTCATCTGTCACCCTGGCCTCACCTCTCACAGTGCCCCCCCACCTATCACCCTGCACCCCACCTCTCACAGTGCCCCCCTCCCACCTGTCACCCTGGCTACCAACTCTCACCATGCACCCTCTCCAATTGCCCTGCCCCCCTTCATTCACACTGCCCCCGTTAATTCAAACTGCTCCCTCCCTCACAGTGCCCCCCTTCTGTCACAGTGCCCCCCCACCTGTCATCTTGCCCCCACCTCTCCCAGAGCCCCTCTCTGATTGCCCTGCCCCCCTTCATTCACACTGCCCCCTCCCTCAAAGTGCCCCCTTTTGTCTCACTGCCCCCATTCTGTCACAGCACCCCCTCCTGTCA